TCATAAATTTACACCTATTTATAAATTATTAGAAGATTAAAAGGATAACATATACATTACAGAAGATAAAGGTAACAATGAATTGACAATAACTAAATTTGCCTCAAAATAAATAAATATATATATATTGTTTAAAAACAAGCTGACCTGAAAAAAAATTAGGTCGGCCCAATATTTAGTCCCACATTTTACAGTAAAATACAAGTAAGAAACAAATTTACGGAGAAGCATTACTCACCTCTCTCCATTGACGTGGTTGTAAGTAGTACGAGGTTGTACACCATTTAATTCCACTAAACTTGCTCTAAGAAAAGAATTTCATCTTTGATACAACATAATAATAAAATAAAATATTATATGTCTAAGAAAAAGTAAAGGATAAATTTTCAAATCACGGCGTAATTATCATTATTAGTATTATTGTTATTTATTCTTATTTATTTTAAATCTTTTTATACATTTTCACCATTAAAAACTGATTATGCTCTGCTTGGTTTGTGTTATGAAATAGTAAGGCGATTCATAGAACAAAGAACACCTAAGAAACATGATCTTCCTGGAATTGCCACAATGCTGCTGTAATAATGGAGACCCAGAAACCCATTCCTGCTGAATAATGGCAGATTATATCCTAGCTGCCAGTTTTGTACTCACGACATTGAGTCTATCTATAATGATTTTGTTTCAATATAGGGTGTAAGTGCGCCGGTTTCTCTTTTTCAGTTGCAGCTTTTATTTTCAAGTTTCGTCCTTCAATTTCAAATTTAGGGGGTTGATTTAAGCAATTTCCTTTTAAACACAGAATCGGTGCTCTTTAAGCTTCTTTTTCCCCTAGGATTTTTCTCTAGAAACAGCATACTCTGGTGGATTATCATTGTTTATGATCATATTCTTTTATGTAAAGATGTAAACTTTTTATGGAAATTTGTCTTTGCTTATGTTCAAATTGACTTGTTGTAATCTTTCTTTGATATCTCGTAGATGAATTCTTCGTTGTTATCTTTTGACTAATCCTCCATAATTGGTTTGATTTTGGATTTTTTTTTTAAATTACTCTGGCGGTGATTTTATCTTCTCATACTCACTGTGAATGTAGTGATACTAATATGCAATGAGATGTGTTCTGACGATTATTTCATTCTCAAAATTGAAATTTTTGAAACTACATTTTCTCTAAATTGAGGACTGGTTTGAGAGATCAATACGAACGCGTTAGACAACCATTTCTTTTTTTTTCAAAAAAATAATAATAAAAAGAAAACCAAATGGATGGATATCCCGTTCAAACGAGTAGGATATCCAGTACAAACCAAATAGATATCTAGTACAAACAAGTGGGATATCCATTACAAACAAGTTGGATAGGCATACAAACCAAATGGATGGATATCCACTACAAACAAGTTGGATAAATATTCAGTGCGTACAAACAAGTTAAATAGGTATACAAACCAAATGGATGGATATCCAGTACAAACAAATTGGATAGGCATACAACCCAATGCATGGATATCCAGTACAAACAAGTTGGATATCCAGCACAAATAAGTTGGATATGCATACAAACCCGTTGGATTACAACTACAAAACAAGTTGGATAAGCATATAAACCAAATGGGTGGATATCTAGTACAAGCGAGTTGGATATCTAGTATGAACAAGTGGGATATCCATTACAAACAAGTTTGATAGGCATACAAACCAAATGGGTGGATATCCAGTACAAACAAGTTGGATAACCAGTTCAAACTGGTTGGATAATCAGTATAAACACAATGGATAAACAATTTAAAATGAATTGGATTATCCATCTTTCTAAACTAGATATCCATCTTATTCTGCTCATCGAAATATAGTCATTTTTAAACACGGAAAAAATATTCGACATGGATCTTGTTGGATAGATCTCGACGAATACAATAAAATTCATGTATAATACGTTTTCTAATTCTTCACGAATTGAGAGATGTGGTCGTTAAAAGATTAGAGATGTTTTTTAAATGAAAGAGAAAAAAATCGAAGGGACTAAACCTGTAAATTATAGGATGTTATTTAGAAAAGTGGAAAAAAATGTAATAAGGGCTAGTAGTGTAAAAAAAAGGAAGGGAAGTATGTCGCCTCGAGTATACTGGATAGAGACTCATAAATTGACACCTATTTATAAATGACTAGAAGATTAAAATGATAGCATATACATTACAGAAGATAAAGGTAACAATGAATTGACAATAACTAAATTTTCCTCAAAATAAATAAATATATATATATATATATATATTGTTTAAAAACAAGCTGACCTGAAAAAAATTAGGTCGACCCAATATTTAGTCCCACATTTTACAGTTAAATACAAGTAAGAAACAAATTTACGGAGAAGCATTACTCACCTCTCTCCATTGATGTGGTTGTAAGTAGTACGCGGTTGTACACTATTTAATTCCACTAAACTTGCTCTAAGAAAAGACTTTCGTCTTTGATGCAATATAATAATAAAATAAAATATTATATGTCTAAGAACAAGTAAAGGATAAATTTTTAAATCACAACGTAATTATTATTATTAGTATTATTGTTATTTATTCTTATTTATTTTAAATCTTTTTATACATTTTCACCATTAAAAACTGATTATGCTCTGCTTGGTTTGTGTTATGAAATAGTAAGGCGATCCATAGCACAAAGAACACATAAGAAACATGATCTTCCTGGAATTGCCGCAATGCTGCTGTAATAATGGAGACCCAGAAACCCATTTCTGCTGACATAATGGTAGATTATATCCCAGCTGCCAGTTTTGTACTCACGACACTGACTCTATCTATAATGATTTTGTTTCAATATAGGGTGTAAGTGCGCCGGTTTCTCTTTTTCAGTTGCAGCTTTTATTTTCAAGTTTCGTCCTTCAATTTCAAATTTAGGGGGTTGATTTAAGCAATTTCCTTTTAAACACAGAATCGGTGCTCTTTTAGCTTTTTTTTCCCTAGGATTTTTCTCTAGAAACAGCATACTCTGGTGGATTATCATTGTCTATGATCATATTCTTTTATATAAAGTTGTAAACTTTTTATGGAAATTTGTCTTTGCTTATGTTCAAATTGACTTGTTGTAATCTTTCTTTGATGTCTCATAGATGAATTCTTCATTGTTATCTTGTGAGTAATCCTCCGTAATTGGTTTGATTTTGGATTTTTTTTAATCACTCAGGCGGTGATTTTATCTTCTCGTACTCACTGTGAATGTAGTGATACTAATATGCAATGAGATGTGTTCTGACGATTATTTCACTCTCAAAATTGAAATTTTTGAAACTGCATTTTCTCTAAATTGAGGACTGGTTTGAGAGATCAATACGAACGCGTTGGACAACCATTTCTTTTTTTCAAAAAAATAATAATAAAAAGAAAAACCAAATGGATGGATATCCAGTACAAACCAAATGGATATCTAGTACAAACAAGTTGGATAGGCATACAAACCAAATGGATGGATATCCACTACAAACAAGTTGGATAAATATTCAGTGCGTACAAACAAGTTAAATAGGTATATAAACCAAATGGATGGATATCCAGTACAAACAACTTGGATAGGCAAACAACCCAAATGGATAGATATCCAGTACAAACAAGTTGGATATCCAGTACAAGCGAGTTGGATATCCAGCACAAACAAGTTGGATATGCATACAAACCCGTTGGATTACAACTACAAAACAAGTTGGATAAGCATATAAACCAAATGGGTGGATATCTAGTACAAGCGAGTTGGATATCCAGTACAAGCGAGTTGGATATCCAGTATAAACAAGTGGGATATCCATTACAAACAAGTTTGATAGGCATACAAACCAAATGGGTAGATATCCAGTACAAACAAGTTGGATAACCAGTTCAAATTGGTTGGATAATCAGCATAAACACAATGGATAACCAATTTAAAATGAATTGGGTTATCCATCTTTCTAAACTAGATATCCATCTTATTCTGCCCATCGAAATATAGTCATTTTTAAACTCGAAAAAAATATTCGACATGGATCTTGTTGGATAGATCTCGACGAATACAATAAAATTCATGTGTAATACGTTTTCTAATTCTTCACGGATTGAGAAATATGGTCACTTAAAGATTCGAAATGCTTTTTAAAGGAAAGAGAAAAAAATCGAAGGGACTAAACCTTTAAATTATAGGATGTTATTTAGAAAAGTGGAAAAAAATTTAATAAGGACTTGTAATGTAAAAAATAAGAAGGGGAATATGGTGCCCCGGGTATACTGGATAGAGACTCATAAATTGACACCTATTTATAAATGATTAGAAGATTAAAAGGATAACATATACATTACAGAAGATAAAGGTAACAATGAATTGACAATAACTAAATTTGCCTCAAAATAAATATATATATATATATATATATTGTTTAAAAACAAGCTGACCTGAAAAAAATTAGGTCGGCCCAATATTTAGTCCCACATTTTACAGTAAAATACAAGTAAGAAACAAATTTACAGAGAAGCATTACTCACCTCTCTCCATTGACGTGGTTGTAAGTAGTACGCGGTTGTACACCATTTAATTCCACTAAACTTGCTCTAAGAAATGACTTTCGTCTTTGATACAACATAATAATAAAATAAAATATTATATGTCTAAGAAAAAGTAAAGGATAAACTTTCAAATCAAGGCGTAATTATTATTATTAGTATTATTGTTATTTATTCTTATTTATTTTAAATCTTTTTATACATTTTCACTATTAATAACTGATTATGCTCTGCTTGGTTTGTGTTATGAAATTGTAAGGCGATTCATAGAACAAAGAACACCTAAGAAACATGATCTTCATGCCGCAATGCTGCTGTAATAATGGAGACCCAGAAACCCATTCCTGCTGACATAATGGCAGATTACATCCCAGCTGCCAGTTTTGTACTCACGACACTAAGTTTATCTATAATGATTTTGTTTCAATATAGGGTGTAAGTGCGCCGGTTTCTCTCTTTCATTTGCAGCTTTTATTTTCAAGTTTCGTCCTTCAATTTCAAATTTAGGGGATTGATTTAAGCAATTTCCTTTTAAACACAGAATCGGTGCTCCTTTATCTTCTTTTTCCCCTAGGATTTTTCTCTAGAAACTGCATACTCTGGTGGATTATTATTGTTTATGATCATATTCTTTTATATAAAGATGTAAACTTTTTATGGAAATTTGTCTTTGCTCATGTTCAAATTGACTTGTTGTAATCTTTCTTTGATGTCTCATAGATGAATTCTTCGTTGTTATCTTGTGACTAATCCTCCGTAATTAGTTTGATTTTGGATTTTTTTTTAATTACTCTGTCGGTGATTTTATCTTCTCGTATTCACTGTGAAGGTAGTGATACTAATATGCAATGAGATGTGTTCTGACGATTATTTTAATTTCAAAATTGAAATTTTTGAAACTGCATTTTCTCTAAATTGAGGACTGGTTTGAGAGATCATTCCCCCCTTCTTTTTGGGGGGTGGGGGATTGATGGGGGAAGTTATGCTTTAGAATAAATAACGCGTCTTTTCACTCAGATGTTTAATATACTGTATCTAAGGAAGTCATTTGTGTGGATACTAATTTTAACCCGTTGTTTTGAAAATTGATTTTTATATCCTCCTGGTTCCAACTTGGAAAAACCTAATTGTAATGTATTCATTTCTTGCTGCCACTTGTGGTATTTAAGAGATAAATTTGTTTGAGGAATAGGATCTTTTGAGACTTTTCAGTCGGTGCACATATACATCTTTTCTGTTGCTGTAAACAATGTCATCAGTGATGTTACTCTAGGCAGAGTTAGATATGTTATACGTGGTCTGGAAATTCTAATGGTGGACTGTTCTTGTACAGTACTTGGAGGTGAAATGGCGGGTTCTAATAGTTTCGCAAGGTGTTGCTGTCCAAAATTTTGATTGCTTTGCATTTCCCTGCCTTGGGGCTTCCGTCTGCAGAATGTAGTGTTTGATTGTCACATATGTCTACTCTATGGAGAGCTGCTGATGATTGTAGTTGTGCTCCATAGTAGTGCTGTCGAGAACCTGTTTGTTGAATCTAGTCATTCAGATCATTCAGCTGGCCATAGGGCCACTAAAAGCTTTCACGACACCAGTGGATAAAACTCTGATCAGGCCAGGTTAGGTATCCTAACATTTCTTTTGAGGATAAACTTTTTTTTCAATAAGTGTTTATTGTTGCGAATTATGATTAGTATTTCCATTGTATGATTAGTATTTCTGCACTTGAATAGACTGCCTTTAATGCAAACTTTTTTCCTACAACATCCAATTCTTTTCCAAATTAAAATCTGAAAGTTCTTAAACAATTTGTTTGCTGGTTGTAAACTAGAAATAGTATTCTTTTATGTGTCAGGAATAGCTGGAAGATGATTGCTGCATTGGTTTCTGTATTAATTATTGATGTGGAAGTGTTGAGTTGCAAAGAAGCGCTGTCATGGTTGATTGTTACTGGAGAAATTGGCATATAAGGGTATTCGAACGTGGGGATCTTTAATCAAAATTTTTTGATGATAGAACTGGGATTCTCAAGCTGCGCAGACGTGGCAGGTAATTTACATCTGACATATCGTGGTAGTTAGTCTGTAAGAAGCTTTTTTTTTTTCTGTTTCATGGAGCTGCAATATATCTAATATACTAGAACTACAGTATTAAAATCGTCAAAGTTCCGCTTTCTGATTGCTAAAGTAGCTAAAAGATGGGATTCATGTTTAGGATGCTTTGGGTTACTTATTGGTGTTTTCACTTGCTGTATGATGCGTCTATCACTTGCAATATCTAATGTTATTATTGATTATATTACGTAATTTTTAAATGAAATCATGTGTCTATCTTCAGTATCTTTATGTTCTTTAAAAACTCTGAATTTGACCACAAGCAACTCTTAGCAGGAACCAATAAAGAACTCATTGAGAACAGGTTGAACATTGACGCTTCTAAGCAAATAGCTGTGTTTAATACTATGGAGCTTGATAGTGAACAGAGCCCAAGACAACCTGAGAGAAAAAATGGCTTTTATGTGCCATTTTATTAGGTTTTGGAAATTTTGATAGACCTGTTACACCAGAAGATGAGAAGTGTTGGGAAGCATATTCAAGATGTTTGCCATTTAGTGGTAATATAATTCTAGTCTGCAGTTTATTCTTAATGGAGAGAGTCAGGAAAAACAGAAGACAGAGCATTTGAAATAGTAATGTGTTTTGTACTTAAAGTGAAAAGTAGCAGAAGGTTTTATAGAGCTCAAAATGATATAATGTTCGTGATAGTCCTGTTAAAATAAATTAGTCTTCGTGATAGTCTTGTTAAAATAAATTAGTCCTCGTGATAGTCTTGTTAAAATAAATTAGTCTTCGTGATAGTCTTCTCTTAAAGGGGTTAGTTATATAGTTTCCAGCTAAGGATATCTCGAAACGTTACATTGGTCAGATTTTGTCTTTAATATATTTCTGCCAAATTATCACGGTTAGGATGTATTTAGGTCCAAGATCTCTCATAAATACTACGACTTTTGTGGAGCAGCAGATTTGTTATGCATATACAGACCGGAACCCATTGTTGAAAATTACTTCTTGTCCGTGTATGAGATGTAAATTACGTAAATTTACAATTCATTGGATCTCAATTAATTCCTTCCTTTGTTGATATCAGAAATTTCTTTCTTTCTCTCTTTGTTGTTGAGGCTGAGTTCCACTATGGCAATTTCAGTAGATTCTGATGTATTACGTTTGTCTCTGTAATGGAGTACTTTTCGTAAGTAAGGTTGATTTTATGAAGGGAAAAACTTGATATTTTCAAGATTTCCTTGAATGAGTTGATTGATACTTCTGCTATTTTTCCTGAATAGTTATGAAGGAACATGACTGAGGGGGTTGGTACATTGTATCCGAATAATAGGAGTATCTAGAGCGAAAAAACTGCAAATAGGATACATTACCGCAATAGAAATTACTGCTTACAGTTCTCCAAATCTTTGATATTTATGACAGTATTTTAATTTAGACCGAGGGAGCTGCGGGTGCCGATTACATTTGCTTGCTATAAATTCTTGCATTTCTACATGGGGTTTTCTTATCTGCCGATTAATTTCTAGGCTAATTCTATTACTCATACAAGTTTGACTGTAAAGTTGATGGATGTGCAGAACTGTGAATGGTGAAGAAAAGCTGATAGGAGCTGTATCTAAGGCTTTGTAAAGACACCTTAACAACCGGTTCTGGAGAAGGTACATGTTTATCTTTTCTTTTTCCTTGTGTTTCTCTTGCGTGCTCTCATCTCTTCCTCCATTTTACTTCTCAATGAGAAAATCCTTTGCTTGTTGTTCTGGTCTTTTATGAATGTGAGTTTGCTTTGGATGACATCTGTTCACTTGAGTTTTCCAAAACCCTTAATTTCAGGAACTATATGCCAAGAACGAAATGAATCTAGTGAAAGTTAATTTGTCGTTCTCTTATTTCATGTTGACTGGTTTCTGACAATTGTCGTTTTCTCTCGCCATGTTTTCTGTTTTCAGTTGTTTTAAAATTATGAGTTCTTGAAAAACGATTTTGTTCAATGTTCTCTCTTTTATTTTCCTTTCATATGCCATTTTGACTCAATTTTTCATGTATTTGGTGCCTGATTACCTTGGAAAGTTATTCAATGAAACAATTGAGATTGTCATTGTTTTAATCTAAAATGCTTCACTGATGATATGCTTTTATGTGCTTCATAAATGTATACTCCGAACAAATGCTTTTATTGTTAATTACCTTGTTTTTATGGCTGAGCTCAGGCAACAGTGAAATATAGTATGATTCCTTCAAAATTATAAAGGGCTTAAGATTTTGGAGTAGTTGATTCCAGGGAGCCAATTAAGGTAGATTAGCAGATAAGTTTGGAAACGATATGTGCTATGTGCTTGTCCATTAGTAACGCTAAGCATGATGCCGGTGATTTACTCAGTGCTACATGTGTGAGAACATGAACTTTTGCAAATTCATTACAGATTGGTGATTGAAAATCCATGTATTGATGGAGTAGGTTACATAATTTAGCATCCCTGTGGAGTTGAAAGGCTTGATTTAGTCCATGTCAGCTAAATTTTGTGATTGAGTTGAGGTTCCTAGCTTATAGGGATCTTGGATATTCTGAACAGTGAGTTCAAATCGAAGTCATGTTGTCCATAATGATGGATTTAATCTCTTCCTTGTCTATCTGGAGGTTAAGGCTGCCGTGTGAAACTTTCTTTCAAACTGAGTGTAATCTGAGAATTTTATAGATAGTTTTTCTGCAGCAAAACTTCTATCCTGACATATCCCTTCCCTGATCCTGTAGATTGCACATTCACTTTTTTCTGCAGTACTTTTAATTCTTGTATAGCTTAGGTTAATATGTATTTAGAGCTTTAGATTAGAGGTTTTGGCTTATTTATTCGGTAAATGGTTTTTAATCCTTTCAAAATGATTTGATTAATAGACTGGGCCTGGCTTTACTGAATTTGCAGTTAAGTGCAGGCTTAGTTTAGTGGTGTCCCCTTGAGTTTGGTGTTTAACTTGGTTTCTTTTATTTTAATGGTTTTGCCTTCCAACCTAGTGTTCAGGTTCAGCCTGAGTTATGTTTTAGATCGATTTCTAGAAATAGTGTCACACTATTTACTTTTGCAGTCGCCAAACCAATGCCAAAATTCTTTGACTTGTGGTTTTGAGTAGAATGCTCAGGTTTACCCATTTATCTGCTTTGTAGACTAAGCATTTAGTAGAACAGAAAACCAGAAGCTGCATGTTAGCGTGCTCTTTTATGTTATTACTGCACAAATGCACCCTGTAGTACCAGCTCTTCAGATAGTTATCATTCAGTTACCGTAGGCGACTGAATCCCATGAAAGTGAAGTAGTCCCCTTGCCCAGCCAATCGACTAACCTTTGGTGGAGTTGATTGTCAAAGATAAGCCTTATGCTTTCTTGATCTTGGGTTGCTATGCTCAAAATTCTTGAGTTTCATACAAGAGGGCCAAAAATGTTGCTAAGATGAATAATAATGGGTGCTCTGTTGGGTAATTCCTCCATAGTCGAGGTTAGAAGTATCACAGTTTAGCTTTGACTACTATTCCTCTTCACCTCCCCCTGTAACCGTTTAATAATGGAATATCTTAAAGAAGCGAGGTACTATTATTGGTTGATGCACCACCCTTCTCTTCAGATTCAATTACATTACAATGAGACAAGCAGCAGATAACCAGTTTTATGAAATCTGAAAGATGAGCTTGAATCCATCATCTCTGACAAATGCTGAGAGTTACAGAGCTCATCAGAGTGCATAAGCTGTGTCCAAATTGTACAAATTGTAAATATGGACACAGTCAGACTGCCAAACTCTTGCAATAGCCTCTGCAAAAGATAGTGATATTTGACCTCACACGAAAATATCATTCTCAATTTTTAAAGGCTAGTTTACAGAGCCGAGCTGCTCCAATGGGATGGCTACTGAGTAAAACCTTGATTAGTTTCACATCTTACTGATATGTTCTAATTTCAACAATCTGTTCTCTATTTAATCTTATCTCGATGTCAGCTATCCTGTTTATTCTTTAATGCGCGTGCTGCAAGGTTTTATCATCTTTATTCGTGTATCTTCCATGTAATTTAGTATTCTGACGTTTGACTAATTATCTTTTGTTCTTAAATTATTAGACTATGGAGCTGATGCCGGGAACCAGTAAAATAACAAAATCTGTTGGACCTGCTGATCAAGCTTCCAATAACACAGGAGAAGATGATAAATGTCCCAAGAAGTATGCCATACAGTAACTACTTCAGTCTCTGGTTTGAAAATTTTCAAGTATTGATGGCCAAATTGCGTATTATTTGCAGTTTTTGTAAGGATGCCAGTTTACATTTAGCTTTATATCTTTGGTTATGAAGAAAAAAAACTCCCTGGGAACATTTTAATAATCATTTGGCTAATTGGTTGATCAACGATCTGCATTTGTTTACCTTTTTTTTATTTTTTATCTTTTCTGAACTTATTTCAGGATCGCTATCCTTGAGGCAGAGACAGCCAAGGTTATTGCAAACATAAATGATACAGCACCTGGAATAAATTTTACCAACCGTTCAGATTCATCATCCTGTTTGTTCACGTCTGGAATTGGAGGTGTGATGAAACAGCCTATAAGTAAGAACGTAGAAACAATACCTCTTACGGGTTTTCATTACAGAGGAACCTTGTTAGCCCAAAGACAACATCAGTACTTGCGACCTCAGGAAAATTATGCTATTTCGTCAGTCATGAACAACTATGAGAGCCTCATGCCAACTTACAGTGTTAGAACATCTGGACCTAATTTTTGGAATTCTTTCAACACAGCACCTGCTTCTCTGATCGCGAAGAATTCAAATCACTACTGTCCTACAATGAAGACAATATATGGAAATTCTCCCTCTTCGAGTAGCTTTTATCGTTTCAATGAGTCAAGAGGCACAGAAACAGTATCGAAACAAGAGGTTGCCAACGCAGATGGAGCGACTACTAGTTCTCATTGCAGAGTTGGACAGCATAATCTAGGAAGCAGTAACAATATGCAGGGTTTAGGAAAGATATCCAAGGTAACAGATTTCACTCCACAAAAGGAAAAAACAAGAAGTGCGCCTTTAAGAAAGTCAGCCAGGGGAATGAGGTGCAGTTCGATGAAGGATAAAAGGTTATACTCTTGTTCTCTGTATTCGGGAAAAAAAAGGATTTTAGCTTTTGGGTTATTCCTGCCTTTTGCTTGTTTTTGTTACTCATCTGATGCGAATGCCATTTCAGTGAAAGTGGTTGCGCTCCTTCCAAGAAGCAAAGAAATTGCAAGGCACCAGTTCTTACTAGTTCCCGTAAAAGTTCTCCAGAGAATACAGGTATAGCTTGTTTTCTCTTCCATTTGTATGCAAACACATGCAAGAATCTCACAGAACTCGTAGTCCTTTTGTTGTGTGGTATAAATTTTGATTCTACCCCAAAAGTAGGAAACTTTGGCATTTCTTCCCATGAAAGGGTTTCTAACTTGGGAAAAGTATCAATTATTTGAACTTAAAGAGATCATGTATGAGATCAGGCTGACTTGAGTTGATGTTGTTGTAGCTTTGACTTTTCATTGAATAATCAAATACTGATCTACTAATTTGTATGAAAAGCCGAGAAGACTCTGAATTTTTTACTTCAAAAGTATATTCTTGAGACCGTTTGAAATATGGTCAACCTGCACTACCTTTACTCTTCTATCCTGGTAAGCAAGATTGTCGATGTGAGACTGAGTATTAATATTGTATGTATGTAAAAAATATATCCTAAAATCACAAACCTTTCAAACAACTTTTGATGGTTGATTTCCAAATTCCATGTAGCTTAGTTGTAAAAGATATCTGCTAAGTAGATGCCAATTCTGCGTTTCCTGTTCTGATATTTTCTTTTGCATTTTGCAAACATTATATTTCAATGGGAATGTGAGGATTGTAAAATTTGTGGAAGAAACTACATTTTCTTTACTTGCATGTATTTTGGAACTAAACTATGTTTTGTATTTTTCCCCAGGTGAGTTTGATGCTGATCATGAAGATCTTTTGGCAGCTGCGAATTCGGTTAATAGTGCCCGTGGTAAACATTTTGAATTCACTTGTTTCTTAAACATAATTTGATAGTTATGTTCTTGTTTGTAATGATGAAAATTGTGATAGTTATACCGTGTACTTGCAGCACGTGCCTGCTCTAATCCATTTTGGAAAAAAATGGAGAGCCTTTTTGCTCCGGTTGCAGCTCATTACTTACCATTGCTCAAACGCAAAGTACGTATACATGTAAACACATGACTTTATAATTGAGTTGTGTGTTTTTATATTTTTAGTGTGGTGTTTATTTTTTTTGCACGACCTGTTTTCTTCTGCAAGCTTAATTCCTTTGAGCAGCTAAACCAGACTGCATGTCTTGTATTTTCTGTTGTATTCGAGGCTGTGGCAAGATTTAGTTGCAGTATCCTACAGAAGAGTTATAGTTGTCCCTTTTAGTTCAGTGACAAATCAGTAATAGGAAAGGTAGAACCAGACAAAATCATGCAGAAGTTTTACTTTGTTAATATATTTTCGCAGGGAGTGGCAACAGAAGGTTCTGTGATGAGAAAAATTGGTAAGGCGGATCGAGGTTTGGTTGTATCTACTGATGATGGAGGCAGAAAAGCTATTAAGACATTAGATGTGGCTCCTTCACTATTCCAAAGACTTCTCTCTGCGATCATTGATGAAGAAGAAAGCGAAGAGTCATATGATTTGAATGAAGGACCTAGCAACATCGTTGAATGCATTCATGATGACTTCCACGAGGCCAGAATGAAATCTGACGTTCAATCAGAGGCAACATTGGAATCTGGGAAGTGTTTTCTTCGGGATGGATTATCTGGTAGTGCCTGTGCTTCAGCAATTATGACTAGCCAAAAAGTTGCGTCAAATACTTTTTGCAATGATGACCTAAGCCAAGCAGATGGCACATTGTGTGGTAGTGGTCTTGTGCCATCAAATTCAGCTAGCAAAACTGGTGGATCCAGTAAGTTGCACAATGATGAACTGCGTCAAGCAGATGATGGCGCGTCATTAACAGATGCAGAAGTTTTGTTTGGAAATGATCTGGATGATCAAAATGCGATACACTCTCCAGAAGTTGATCGATGCCATTGTGAGTACCAAGAGTTATCATTAAATGAAAAGTTATCCCTGGAGCTACAGAGCATTGGTCTAAGTTGTGGAGACATGGTAATACTTTCAAATTTGTTGTTCTTTGCTTCTGCATGCAAAATTTATTCTAATATTATTTGTTCAACCAGCCTCATGGGTGCAACAGAGAAGTAGGTATTAATGTAGAGATCAAAGGACTTCAGAGAAAGCTTCATCAACAGGTTGGCTCTTTACCTATTAAACATTCTAGTGTTCAATTTTAAAGTTCAACTTTTCGTTGTCTTTCTTGTGAGTATACGTCGTGTTGCTCTTTAACTTTAGATTAGCTTCCTTTTGATGAATTTTATGCTTTATTGTATTATGGAGAAGAAAATTTGCATGCCTTTGTCTTATTCGTCAATGATGTTCATGTTCCACTGCACTTATCTATTGAAGAGGTTATTTTAACTGTGGTAGGCCTCCAATATCAATAATAGCTTGAAAAGAGTTGATGCAGCTCTTCAATGTGAGCAAGAGTTGGAGAGAAGGTACATGTATTATTCAAAGTCCTCTTTAAATGGTGCTGGGCATTAACATACCATTTTTGAGTACAAAACTAATGAAGGTTGTTCTGCAGAGCTGTTGAAGAATCTGCTATGGATCAACTGGTGCAAATGGCTTACAAGAAAATAAAGGTGAGTAGAACTGCTTGCCTCAGTTTTATGTTTAGTCATTTTTACCAGTAAAATATTTGGCTTATGCATGCAACTTCTGCTTCTATTTCTGGTTAAAGGATGTAGGGATAGCAGACTCGTTTTAATCATCATGTCCTATACTACTACAGTTAGAGTCACGGCAAACACTAGTTCTCTATGATTATGTGCATTTTATATGGCTGAAAAATAGATTCAATTGAAAGTCCTGATTCGTTTTCTTTAAATTTATTTCATTATACAGTTTATGTTTCATACTAAAAGAGCATTAGTTTTTGACAAGACAAACTTCAATGTCTTTACTTTTATTCTTGGAGAAAATATCAAAATCACTGACAGATGCATTGAGAGATTTAGGGATTTGGGTGCTGCCATATTGCGGTTTACATCATAGTGTTTGGTTTCTTTGATTAATCTTGTTTGTGAGTAACTTTTACATAAGTAGTTACTTATTATTGAGTTAGGAGAGCATGATTTAAGTTTTATCGGTAAATGCAGTAGCAGACACTTTAGTGCACCTTATGTGGGGTTTCTGTTTATGATACCTCTTCAAAGCCTAATCATCAACCATCCCAAACCCCCCAACACACACACCAACATCGAATCTACCTCCAGAATCTTTTTGAAAGGCATTTCGCCTTTAGTATAAATTGCAGAAGTATTTTTCACACCTTTTGTTGATTTGATTTAGAAAGAGAAACAATTACCATTCCAATGCTCTGAGCCATTTTTTTTTCTCAATTTAAATTTAACTTAAGTACCCTTGGTTGCAAATGTAACCATACTTATTACTTATTTGGTTGATTTTCTTTTCGGTTGTTATAACTGGTCAGGCCTGGATTTGCAAACATTTTGCAGAGTCGCTTTCAGATAATCTGTTTTGCCTCTAGGAAAAGGGGTCAGATGTACTACTTGAATTTCCAACAACATTTAATTGACTTAAGCTTCTTACTCTTATTGCTGGTTAAATTGTTTCCTCTTTGTTTGCATTTTTAACCAAAATTAGTTCCTTTTTAATTATCTTTCTCTAGACACTTTTTAAACCCCAAGATTCTCTGGTTTTGATGTCAACTATGCTACTTTGTAGTGTGACTTTAAACCAAATATCTCTTTCATTTCAAGTATCCTTTTGTCTCCAGGTCAGACGCCCGCACAAGGCCTCAAAGCAAGTGGCGTTAGCCTTTGCCAATCGTACTTTGCTTAGATGTAAAGAGTTTGAAGAATCAGGCCGGAGTTGCTTCAGTGACCCTTTCCTACAGGACATCATTTTAAAAAGACCTCCAATAAAGGTAGATGTAAAGCCTGCAGATGGTGTGAAGAGAAAAAGAGAAGCTCAAAAGAACGCAAAGCACAAAGATTTAGGTGCAGTCATTCTTTAAATTGACTAACGCTATGATATTTATGTTGTTTGAATGAAAAGATTTGATTCATCTTTTACTGTCGAGTCCCATTTCACCTGAAATGTTTGAATCTTTTGGAGACATGAAAAATTCTTTTATTTGTTGGTTTTGCCAGCATTAGGTCCTGTATCTGGTGTGATTCAAAAACGTGCTAGTCGGAGTGATAAACTGCGAAATTCTTCTAGAATTCAGTCACCTAACCAATGTTCAGGTTTTGTGGCCAATAAGGAAAAGGAGCAACTTCGTAATCAGATTAGCTGTCCTGATTTGAAGGCAAAAGAGGCCATACCTGTCACCCAACCTGGTCAAGTGGGCATAGGCGTTTCTAACGCAGAGCAACCTTCGTCTCACCAATCTGTTCCGTCTGCAAGCTATGATCCCATGGTAGAGAAAGGAAAGATGAAATTCCTTCACGAAATTCTTGGCCCTGCTTCAAAAGTAAATCTTACCAGCCAACTTGGCAGAATTCATGGTGTGACAATCACGAAAAATAGGGATAAGCGTGAAGTGGCTCCACCTTCCACATCCGGGAATGTAGATAAACCAAAAGCAAGTTCCAAGCCGCGGAGAACATTATCAAGAATCGGAATGCTGGAGCTTGCCAAGCCTAGCCAATCGTCAACTGTCAAGCCAGGTAATCATCCAAATGAAAACAATGAGACTCTTGTTTCTTCTCTGCCTTCAGCTAGTAGCGATCATCTGGATGAGATACTAGTGCAGATAGCTGAGTTCAGAGCTCCCTACATCCCCAAGGATCTCGGTACACTGTTAGATCATGAGGACTTGTCTGAAGTTGACTCTGATGGTCTTTACGTGCCACTAGACAGCCTTTCCGACATTAATTTGTTTCTGTGACGCGTGCCTTTGAAGTCGAAGGATGGTGGGAACTGGGAAGGCGATAGTGGCTCTAGCTAAAAGCTTTTCGTCTCAAAACTCTGAACTTCCCTTTTATTTAATCTACCAAATTTTTAACTGTCTGGATTGTTCAAGTGGTCTCAGTTTCATTTTGGAGTTGTCTTTTTGATCAGAATGTAGTAGTAACGCAACAATGCTGCCATTTTCTGTGTAGGGCAACGGTCTGCGCTCTTTCAGTGATCTAGTCTAGGCTTTTCCGCGGTGCGACAATCCTATTTGTTGAACTATTTCAGCGTAACAAAAGCGAATATTATTTGGGAAGGATGGAGTAGAACATTTGAACTGATCTCTGATTGGCATTTCTTCAAGTTTGGTTAGTTTATTTGTTATTTGGTTTATCATTTGCATTGATTTTGCTACTAAAGTCGGTTCCAGCTTGGCCAGAGGAATTATGGGCCAACTATAATTAGCAAATCCGAGAGAATTTGTGCAAGTTGCATTGGATACAGAAGTCTTGTGTTGCATAACAACTTGAACAAATCTTTTTCAAAACAAATGGATAACAGTTTGCTTTTCCAGTGTATAATAATTTAACGACTTGTAGCCCAACCCAATTTCTGAAACTGGGCTTCACTTATGTTTTATGCCTCTTGGAATAGTTTCATAGGGCATGATTTTGTTGGTGCAAATAGGAAAAATATCTCTTTCTTCGACCTTGTTACTTAAAATGCTTTTTATTGTTTCTTTCACAATAGTTAGAATACTCATTTTGGAATAAAAAATTATTTCATATTAAAAAGTAACAATTGATTGATTAAAAAGTATAATTTGCATTTTGTCTCTCTCAACATTCATTTTAGGACAGAAAGAATGATATTTTTATATTCTTCTTCACTAAATTGTACGTGAAAGCATTTACTTCATAAAGGATTTACTAATATTATATTTACAAAATTATTAGCACTATTCACTCCCTTTTTATCAATCGCAATTGGAAATTTCCTGTCTTAGTAATATATAATATTTTCTTTAGTCTTAGTATTCCATATCTTTTAGTAATCAAGGCATACAATAAATTTTTGGAGTCTGTATCCAGTATACCCGGGAGCATGTACATCCCTTTCTATATTTTACACTATTAGTCTTTATTGTATTTTTTTTCTCAATCTTCCTATAATTTGTAAGTTTAGTCCCTGCTACTTTTTTCTCTTTCTACCAGAAAAACATCTCTAATCTTTAAACGAGCATATCTCTCAATCAAAAAAGAATTTGTGAATGAATTATATATAAAATTTATAGTAATCGTTGAGATCTATCCAACAAGATCCATATCGAATATTTTTCTAGAGCTTAAAAATGATCAAATTTCGATGGGCAGCATTAAGATGGATATCCAGTTTATGAAGATGGATAACCAACTTATTTTATATTGATATTCTTGTAAAATTTATGTCTCTCAATCCGTAAAGAATTACAAAACAAATTACACATGAAATTTATAGTGCTCGACGAAATCTATCGAAAAATAAAATTAAAATACTCGGGCAGAAACGAAGAAAGTATTTATGTTGGATAACCAGTACAAAGACGTTGGACAACTATTTTTTCAGAAAAAAAAGGAAAAAAATGATTGGATAACCATTACAAACCACTTGGATAATCAGTGAAAATAATTAGATAAGCAGTACAGACTGGTTGGATAATCAGTAAAAAAAAATTGGAAATTATTTTCATAAAAGAGCAAGGAAAAAAAAGGTTGGATAACTATTACCAAAAAGATGGATAATCGGTATAAACAAATTGGATAGATATTTTCTCAAAAGAAAAAAAAAAGAAAAGAAATTCTGTTTGGATAATCAGTGAAAATGATTGGATAACCAATACAAAACAGTTGGATACTCAGTACAAAAAAAACTGGGCAAGGATTTTCGCAAAAAAAGTAGAGAAAAAAAATGTTTGGATAATCTATACCAAACAGTTGTATAATCAATATGAACGCACTGGATAACCATTTTTTAAAAAAAAAAATAAATTAAAAAAACTAAGTTGGATAAACAAAAATAATTAATAGGATCATCAGTATTAAAACATTGGGCAATGATTTTTTTTTAAAAAAAAAAGATTGGAGAACCAGTACAAACGAAATGGATAATCAGTTCAAACCAGTCGGATAATCAGTATGGCCATAATGGATAACTATTTTAAGAAAAAACTAAGTTGGATAAGCAGTACCAATGAGTTGGATAACAAGTACAAAATCGGACAAGTATTTTCATAAAAATAAAAAAAGAATAGCTGGAGAAACAATAGCACGGGTTTGGATAATCAGTATGAACACATTGGACAAGCATTTTCTCAAAACAAAAAAAAATGATTGGACAAGCGATATAAACTTATTTAGACAAGCAGTAAAAATAATTGGATAACCAATACAAAGCGATTGGATAATCATTACGAATACATTGGATAATCTTGTTTCAAAGGAAAGAAAAATGATTGGATAAGGGGTATAAACAGAATGGATAACTAGTATTAGCGTATCAGATAGCGTATCAAAAAAAAATGATTAGATAACCAGTACAAACAATTTGGTTAAGCATATAAATCCGTTGGATAACCAGTACCCATAAGTTGGAAAGGCATACAAACCAAATGGATGGATATTCAGTACAAACAAGTTGGATAAATATCTAGTACAAACAAGTTGGATATCCATACAAACCAGTTGGATTACAACTACAAAACAAGTTAGATAGGCATACAAATCAAATGGATAAACAGTACAAACAAAATGGATAACCAGCTCAAATTGGTTAGATAATCAGCATGAACACAGTGGACAATCCACCTTATTTCTACCCATTGAAATTTAGTCATTGTGAAGTTTGAAAAGTATATTCCATATGGATCTTGTTAGATAGATCTCAACGAATATAACAAAATTCATGTGTAACACGTTTTCTAATTCTTCACGGATTGAGAGGTATACTCGTTTAAAAATTAAAGATGTTTTTTGGAGGAGAGAAAAAAAAAATGACAATGACTAAACTTGCAAAATATAAGAATTTTAAAAAAAAGTACAATAAGGACTACATGTGCAAAAAATAGAAAGGGGAGCATGTGCTTTCCCTCCTATTTTCGGGTGTACCCAACAAATTGTCAATTTTTGTGAGGTTTTCCTTTTTGGTTTTTTTCTTCTTCAAATAGTCCCTCGATGAGGTTTTGAAGCCTCAACCATCTCACTCCATTTTATTGTAGTATGATTTTAGTACAATAAATAAGACAATAATTTTGGGACGTGGAATATAGCAATTATTAAGTATTTTTTACTTTATTTTGTTTGATAAAGAAGGAAAAAAAATAGTCTACAAAATTAGCTAGACAGCTTTCTGTATCTAGACAAGTGTTGAACAATTGTCGGCAACATTAATGCCATCGAAGGAATTAAAAAATTGAATCAACTTGAAAATATTCTAAGAATATATGTAGATATATGTTTGGATGTTATGGTGTTGGATTTGGTACTCATTTCGAATTCAGACCTTAGCATCTGAACAAAAGATCAGGTGAGCTTTTGCAATCATTCAAGTCAATGCCAAAGAAGATAGTCTAAATAATTTGAAGGGCTGCCATATTTCTTATGAACACCTAGCTAATTGATTAATTAATACTACTCACTTATCGTTACTAATATAAGGGATTTGTTTTTTAATTAAAACAATGTAAAAATTAAGATTCTATATTTTTAAAAAGGACGTGAAAGTGTCTTTCTTTTTACTTTTATGCATGGGTGCAATTATTTAGTTGACAATGAGAAAGGTCAACCTGCCATTTTGGTTGGTGAATTACTTTTTAGTTCCCCCCTCTCATATGGTCATTTTCAAAGTCATAAACCAACCAGATTTCAACTAGTTCGAATATTCTTTGAAAGTAAACTTTATACTCTCTGTCCTAAAATTATTGTCCACTTTGAATTTTCATTTTTAGTTCAATTTATACTAAAAATAAAATTTCAAACTGGACAATAATTTCAGGACGGAAGGGATACACGAAAAAGAAATTGTAAAAGAAACCGATGTTTTTTTTTTTTGGTAGAAAAGAGGAGGCATAATGCCTAGGAGAAACCGATATTAACACGAAACCACACACAAAAAAAGACAACAGAATCAAGGAATATTTTCGGTTGGATGAGAAAATAAGATCGTGAGGTTAATTACGAGATTAGAAATTCAAACTTTGTCAGAGTAGTAAAAATATACTCCCTCAATCTTATAAAAATAGTTCACATTGAGTTTTGTACTGTTTTTAGTACAGATTTGAAAACTCAATGAGAACTGTCTTTTTGGGACGGAGATAGCATCATTTAATTTCTTTCTTGAAAAAAAGAAAGCTCCCCCTGTTACAAAGAAATTTTTCACAAATAATAATTCCAGTAATATCTTGCGCCATGCATACATGATTTTGATGTCATTTTTTCTCAACGCCTTGCCTCGTTAATATAGTCATTTGGCTCTTAATGAAACAGGCAAATTAGAGAGAATTAAAGCCAGCTGGCAAATTATCGGAAGGGAGGTAAAGTTTCAACATCAGGAAATTGTTATAAGGAAAAAAAAATTATATTGACTGAACTGATGATTCAATTTAATTAAAACGTGACTTTTATTTTAGGACGGAAAATATTTATTAGTTAACAATCGAATTTGTGTGGTGTATTAAAACATTTGTTATACATAAAAGATAATTGAAAATTTTAACCCTTATTGTCGTAGGAATTGTATCAATTTCATCCAAAACAAATCGTTTTCCTCAAATTCACATAAAGCATAAATTACTCCCTCTCCTCTCCTATATATATATACGTGTCTTCTCTAGGATGCTGAATTACTCACATCGATATTGCGTAAACGAGATTCTGTACCATTTCTGTCTTATATTTATTATTATTATCATGTACCAATTATGTATTGTGAAATTGTTAGTAGTTTCACAATCATGTAGGAGTTCCAAGAAAAATGAAACAAAAGTATACAATATTTATTAAATAATTAAGATATAACTTTTGCAAAAAAATAAAAAAATAAAAAAAAATTCCTCCATCCTCGAAAATTCAGTAATAGAAAACAAAATTAGTTTTAAAATTAGATTACTAAAAAAAGGAGATGCATATATAACACTAAACAAGACATCGATGTTCATACCGTGAACGTGGCTTTTCATCGGTGTTTAACTATACACAATTAAACCGAAGGGAATAATGTACGGTGATTATAATTGCATAAAGACAACCTAATTTGAAATCATGTTATAAATTTTTGTGAGACTTTACAAAAGCACGCTGATAATGACCCAACGATATTTAACCCATAATAATGCTCATGCGTACAATAGACCGGCACCACAAAGGTACGTATGATACAACTTTGTGATTTTCTTTTTTTATAAATGAAATTTAGGAAAAATTAGAATGTCTTAATAAGAACCAGAAGGAGTATTAGTTTTTATAATTTACTAGATGGTACACGTATGATGTGCGAAATAGATAAATTATGTATGAAATCGAACATAATAAAAATCAAAGAAATATTTTATACATTAGTAAATTGATATACAATTTAAAAATGCTAAATTAAATAATATTACATTAAAAGTAATTTTTATGTACTATTTATTCACAAAAAAAAAGGGATCCATATATTGATATACATATTAAATATATTTTGTATTCATAATTTGACATTTTTGACCACTCTTGTTGTTTATGATATTGTACCATCCTGAACAAAGTATTAGAACTCAATGAGATGATTTAGATTTCAAAGTGACCTTCGAATGCATGAGCCAAACTGGAAAATATGATCAAACTTAGGCAACAGCACTATAGGTCACACCATTGACTACAGATCTCTAGAACCATGATGCCTTCTCTAATTCATTTGTCTAAGATGCTTCAAAGAAATAAATTATACCATAAGGTAAAATAATTTTTTAAAAAAATTTGAAGCAAAGGTTTCATATTAATACCTGACAGTTAAATGGGCCTACCTATCATTATGCCTATTAATTTCATTTTCGCGAATCATCATCATATATTTCACCATGATGTCTCAAAAAAAATCAAACATTGAAATCATTAATTAAGATTGGCAAAGAAACTCACCGTAGATGTGCATTCGAAAATTCTTGTTGCAGAAAAATATTTGACCACAGCTTGAAAAAGTTAGAAGCGAAAAACTTTTGACACAAAAAAATAATGATTATTAAAAAAACGTAAATTCTAAGAGAAAAGAGAGAGAGAGAGAGAGAGAGAGAGAGAGAGAGAGAGAGAGAGAGAGAGAGAGAGAGAGAGAAGAAGAAGAAGAAGAAAAAAAAAAAGAAGAAAAGATTGCGGTATAAACTGGGATTGCAAGCCAGTTGAGTTTTATAAGTACACTTTATCTATACATAATAATTTTAGTCACATGATTAATGCGATAAGAGTGATTTTATGGATATGTTTATATTTGATTGTTAAAATAAAGTGAATGGATTAATATTGGAGTGATTTTATATTTGATTTTTTCGAATTTCAAAAAAACATTTATATTGTTTAATGATCAAACCAACTAGATGCTTGTCCCGGACGAATGCCCGGGGTGCCGCTTGTATTTTTAAATCGATTAAATAAAAAATACGAATCATTCTTAAAAGAATAAAAAAAATAGAAGAATAAAAAATCGATTGAAAGAACAGAAAGTGAGTTATTATACATAAATTTATGCCCAGATTTATAACATTTAATTTACAACAGTTAACTTATGCCCGGGTTTACATAAATCATAAACCAATATCTACAACAGAAGAATAAAAAAAATCATCCTTAAAAAATCAAATTTCTTTCATGACAGGTTATTTTTTCTCTGTTGTAGAAAGAGATGGATTGATAATTGATGTCAGATTTTAAGTAATTCATTTAAAGGCCCGGGTGTGAGAGAGGAGCGGAATGGAAGAGATTCTTTGAAATTGGGGATTGGGAAGACATTATTGTATTTTACTTTATTTAAGGGGATTTCCGTACATTTGATTTTATTAATTAAATATTGTTGTTTTAAGAGATTAGTATATACCTATAATTAAGAGATTTTTATGTAACTATAATTAAGGGATTTATGTATTTATCTATTCCATCTTTTTTTTCCGATTAGTTAGAGTGTCACGTGTCAAAAATGATTTTGTACTGAAAATGACTTTTGGCGGAAAAATTTTCATTGTAGTGCTGACACATGTCCTTTTTGTTTGCTGCTTTAAGTAAGTACTATAGATATGTAATGACATTATTCAAGCCAATCGAAAGATCTTTTCAAATCAATCAATTTTAATGTTGAATTAAAGAATCATTGATGATTTTGTATTTATTATTTTTGAATTTCAAAAAAATATTAATATTATTTAATGATCAAACCAATATGTAATGGTATTATTAAAGCCAATCGAAGAATCTTTTTAAATCAATCAGATTTGATGTTGAATTAAAGAATCACTGATGATTTTGTATTTATTATTTTTAAAATTTAAATAATCATTAATATTGTTTAATGATCAAATCAAGACGTAATGTCATTATTCAAACTACAGCGCTTAATGTTATTTAATGTTGAGATTTTAAAAAAATTTTGGTTTTTTTGTTTTTCATTTTTTGGAATGCAAAATAGAATGCTTACCACACAATTAATTGGTATACTTTAATTAAAAATTTATAACAATTTATTAACTGAAAATTCAAAAGACTGTTAGTGTAATTGTTGTAAATATTTTTTGTGTCAACCTATAAAAAAGTGACACATATGATTTTGTCCTATGTGTCAATGGGAAGAGGAGTTTGATTTCCTCTCTTAATATTATACTATAGATACTGATTGTGTACTTAAATAAATATATGAGTTTCAATCGATAAGTGATTTGAGCACTATCTTAAAAGTTCAACAAATATCATATGAATTTTAACACCAAAAAATAAAAAATAAAAATCAGAAAATATCTTTGGTTAAAAAGGCATGGGATCTTCTAAGCCACAATAGTCACGGTAAATTTATCTAGTCATGTGGGATCGGACATCATAAAATCCATGCATCTTCTAAAGATCAGCTAACTACTATAGAATCACGTTAGTTAATGTCGTTTGTTGTTTACTTTTAGGTTACAAGTAGTTGAAACTACCCATGAATATCTTACATCGAGGGGGAATGTTTTAAGTTCAGATACGCATGAAATACTTATATTATAGGTTGCTTATCATATTTTTTATTTTTATGCAAATTCTTAATTTTTCGTAAACAGTCTAAAATAATATAATTTCATTTTTTTGGAATACTAACAATAATATAATGTAAACAATCTATTGTAAAACAATCTTACATGAAAATTATCCCGAATAGTATCTCCGTCTCATCAATATGAGTAATTTTTTCTGTTCTACTTTAACTGTACATTTTGTTGAATTAATATAACGAAGTAGACTTTTAAAATAAGACGGAAGAAATTGTTATTATTATGATTATTGACTGGAAACTAAGAGAATATCCTTCCGGAACTGATCAAGTCATACACAAATTCTTGAAGTTCATCCTCTGACGAATTCCATGAAGATCCATTGAATATGGTTTCGAAGACACAAAAACTACAGTAGTCCAATTACGTAAAAAAATTCTGTTCTTATTTGTTAAATCGTTGTCCTTCCAAGTCTCGTTATGAACGCGATGGTTTAATGGATTACATTAAAAAAAAAATTAAAAAAGAAGATAGCTAGGTAGTCCATTCTTTTTCTTGGGCGGTAAATTAAAATAATACAATAAATGCTATCTTTCGAGAACAACTTAACTCACTCAAATCAGAAGATCAACGGAGATAGAAAACTGTAAAGATTTTAATTTCAATTAGTTTATCAGCCCGGGCATTGTTTAACATGTCTAAAAAAGAGTATGTAGAATAGAAAGAAAAAAAGTATTTTCTTATGATAATAAAATTTTACAGGAAACAAATCAAAAGATAAAATAACGCTAATCCTTTTAACTCGGCTTTCAATTTTTATTCTAATATTTATTGTCATCACATTGAAGTCCATAAACACCATTAATTATCTCTTGTTTAAGTTGCATCCTGGCTAACTATTAGTGTGTATGAATAGTTTTTCGTGTTGAATCAATGGAAAAAATATGAAGTTTTGTTGGTGAAGTTGAAAAATTCTTTATAGAAATCCATGTATTACAATATTGAAATGTTGATTTTGAAGAGAGGTTAGTCTAGAATCTGGAGTGTTAAATCAAATCAAAATCAGTCACTATAAATTCTAGTTTTCAAATGATTTTTTTTCTTTTTGGGTTTTCAATGATTTTGCGAACAAATGTAGAACCGAATCCCCCCTTTACACCGGGGCGATTAACAAAGGATTGATTTTACATTTACAAAATATGCTAATACTACAAGATTAGGAAGATCTTACCACGAAATCGAGAGTTAGAAAAAATTTGCCATTGAATCCTACTCTTTCTTCTCTAATATATATATATAGCACAGATAGAGAGACTGGCCTAAAAGCTAAGAGGAGGGATAGGAGTACTAGCTAGGAGGCAAATTAAAGAACTAATAATTTAATTTGGACATCACCAAATACCCTTTTAATAATTATCATATTACGCTAATCATCATCATGGAGCTAAATAGCTAGCTAATCACAATACATCAGAAGTTTGAGAATTGATTCTGAGAAGATTGTTGTACTTGTACAATCTGCAATTCTGATGAGGTTTGGCAAGAGGTCTCATCCCCAATCATACTCCTGAAATTATTGCCAAAAAAAAAAAAAAAAACACTTTAAAACTTTTTAGTTTAATTTTATTTATTTTGGAAAGAAAAGAAGAGGACAAGTATGAGCATATAATACCAACTTCTTTTGTTCCATTTCATTTTTAATACTAATATTTAAAGTTGCTTTAGTAGTTATTTTTCAATTTGACAACTACATAATGTTTTATTTCCCGAAAACAATTATGTTATTTTATCATATTAAAAATAAAAATAAGTGTTACCAAAACATTAATTGTATGCTTCCCTGTCACTTATTCAAAACGAAATTTTCTTCCAAATTCATTGTACAAAGTACTAGCTATCCTCTGGGTTTAATATAGAAAGCAAATTGCACAAATAAGTCCTCTAGAAGAGCTGTTTTCTAATAATAGACCATTGACTATTGTATCATTGCAATTTTTATATTAAAAAAAAAATTAGAAAATATAACTATATCAATTCATCTAACTCTAAACAAATTTTCGAATTCGAATTAGCATTTTATACCCTTAAACGATAAAAAAAAAGGAGTGAAAATAAACATTTTAAGCGTACGATGATTGTTATATTTCATATAATGGATTAGATTCATACCAAAATTAGCAAACTAATTCACAAAATATTAAAGTGGAAAAAAGGAAGAAAAAAAGAGGAAGAATATGATCTTACTCTCTTGGCCTTGATGCCCAAAGGGAACTTAGAGCTCGAAGTCGACCATAGTATTCCCCAATCACCAAAAAGCATCTTGCTACTTGTCGAACCGTCAATATTCTTGGCAGATGGTGAAGTGTCTGTTGTCTTAAATTATCAGCCTACAATTTCATTTATTAAAAATAGATAATTAGGTTTGATCAAACAAAAACAAACAAAATTCATAGCCATTTGAATACATAAAGCAAAACCCACCTTCAATTAATTATTATCTAATTTATTAGAAAACTCATCTAGACAAAGTAGCCCATCAAATCCCTTAACAATTATTAATAATGGCAGCAAATGGTTTGAAAAAGAAAAATTGTACAGTTGTTCTTTAAATGAAGGATAGAAATTTGGACTACTCTGATTATATATAAAAAAAATTGTTGGTTTTCAACGAAGTGGTTCTTAATAATAATATTATAAAAAAATTTGTTGAAATATTATTATTGATTTAGTCAGTAAGGGTTTTTTACTTCAACAGTAGTCACTTTCATGTACCCTTTTGATAGCTACACATATTGTATCAAATAATATCCATTTCTAATAAGCCAAAATTTAGATAATAAAATATCAAAAAAATATTTTTCCCTCTCTTTGTTTTTGAAGAAAAGTGATTAGTGGAGTAAATGATGTAATGATGACGGATTACTTGCGTGGCAATATTTACACAAAGAATAATGTTCAATAATACATTTTTGAATGAAGCCATATTTTTATAGTGTGTTTTGAATTATGATACAATTGTGTAATTATCATTGAAAAATCATCTTTTAGTCAAACATTATCTGAAAACTTTGAACAGTCTAACCCCTAAAATGATTTAAGAAAAAAAAAATTATTCTATATTGTACTCAATAACACTATAGCATGCATATCCATAAAGTCAAAACTTGAAAAAGAAGTAATTAAGCCGTTGTTTTTTACTCTGACCATAATGCAAATTTCATCATATGAAGATTAAAATGCGTCCCTCTAATATTAGACTGTTCAAAGCATCCGTTGTAAAATGTCAGATAATGAGGGTAAAGTAGTATTACCTGACGAACAAAGCCTTCAAGATTGGTGAGTTTGCCCAAAGCAACAGCCATATGGTGCATTCCATCATTCACAGTGCCACTGGCTATGGTTTCAACCAAGGATTGTTGCAGCTGTTCTAAGCCTTGGGTTAAAGCCTCTTCTGCCTGTTGTGAAGAATGCTGGAGACCGTAAATCCCAACAACTTGCTGCTCAGTTAAAGGGTCCAATTGTGCTATCAACATCTGCTCAAAAAAAAAAAAAAAAATACAAATCAGTAAGAAAAGTTGCAGTCTTGATGGTCTTATGAAGTTTTTGTTAGCTGATTTCATTACCTTGATCAGCTCAGAGGGCCGGAAACCGCCCATCCAAAGAAAACACCTTTCAGCTGGAGTAGTCCACATTCCAGTTATGAGATGGAACACATCAGATTTTACTGCTACTCCTTTGAGTTGGAAGATCTCATCATAGTGTTGAAAGTATCTATCAACTATAACCCGGAGATCACCGTCCACCAAGTGAGCTTGTAATGCTGTCCGAAGCTCAGACATGTACCTTTGATCATCATCTAGCCATCTTGCATATTCCATGTCAAACATTGCAGCTCCTGAAAATAATATCAAGCAACAATGTGAGTAAAATTAATCATGGTCCTTAATTTTTTTCACCTCCTAACAAACAATTGTACATGCAAGTGAGTAACTTTTAGATTAGTCCAAAAAAGAGTGTCAAAATTTTATCTTCATCTCTAGTTCTTGAATTGATAATAAAAAATAAAAAAAATCTTCTTGAATAAGCAATTTATACAGAATTTTAGGACAGAAGAAAATGAAAGGAGCAAAACCCAAGAGTCAAACTAACCTGAGCTGATGTTTCCACCAGGACCACCTCCACCCAAGAAAATTCCCTGCTTGATAAAAACAAAAGTCAAATAATTGGACATCGCCCATTCTTCCCATTGATTTCAAGAAGTACAATAATGAACCAGCTTTGCTTCGGCCTTTTCAAAGCACACAATACCTGAGCACGAGCTCTTTGAAGGTCTTGTTCAATTTGAGTAAGCCTTATCCTACTTGTTTCCAGTTGTTGAACATAAGCCTTCAAAACCAAACATAAACACAAAAAGCAAATATCTTTAGCAGATAAAAATGGCCAATTTGGTTGGTGGGTCTACCACATTTCTCCAAAAACAAAACCCAAAATTTAGCATGCTTACTTTCTTTCTTAGCCTGCTTTTCCTTGCTGCTTCTCTATTTTGAGCTAAACGCCTCAATGTCTGCAAACACAAAGAGCAAAACAGCCAAAAAACAATATTATTTTCTTTTCTTTTTTTTTTTGAATATTTCTACTTGCCTTTTATCCACTACAAAATAATCAAATTGTTTGGTGATATCCAAACAGAAAAGACAATAATTCTTTAATGGGCTTTTTATCTAAATGGCTTCTAGATTAGCACATATTCCACTTTTATGTCTGTAATCTACCTTGGCATCGAGCACTTTGTCTGAAGTTGAACCAGGCCCTCTTCTCTGCAACATTGAAGAGTTAATAAATAACTACACTATAATACTTTTGGTTGAATGATGAGAAGAAATACTAGGCCTTAAAAAAAAATCACTATTGCACTTTTAATAGTATTTATAGAAGAATTTTGTCCACTTTCACAACTCTATTCCTTTCTCTCTCCACATTTTTCAATAGGGAAGAAGAGAGTAACGTGTCAGCAATGCAGATTCTTGTTTCAAAGATTGGATTTTTATTCCAAAAAAATAAAAATAAAAAAAGGTATAATAACTACGCAGAAAGCAGATAATGTGAAAGGCATATCATTTCATTTCAGAGTTTAGAATCTTGATGCTGATGTGAAAAAACTGTTTTCAAGAAAGTAATGATGAGGATTGATTCCTGGCTCAGCTTAAAAAGCAGATACAAGGCCTAAAAGAAGGGGGAGTTTATATAAACTACAGTTCTTGGGATTACAAAAGGTAGTCATTATTATTATCACCAGAACACAAACTAAACTTGAGCTGTGAAGAGCGAGTAAAAGCAGAAAAAGAAGCCCACTTCAGTGCAATAAGAATGCAAAGAAATAATTATGAAGAACAGTGGAGTTGCCGGCACTCAAAAGATACACCCTTTTTTCCCTCTCATTATGTCAGAAACTGAATCAGAGAATCCCTGAGAAAAAAAAAAAACACCAGAAAGACTACCCCTTTTGAAATTATTAATCTCCCTGACAGTTTCATTGGGATTCGTGAAAGATTAAGGATTTATTTATCAATTCTTATAATAAAGATGGAAACTTTTTCCTCAGATTTTGGGATGTGAAAAGAGTGAAGTTAAAACAGTAGCACCTAAATTAACTAGTGATTTTAACTTTAAGTTAGTAGCAGTAGTACTGTCTACCTTTTCTGTTGTGGGCTTGGCTGATGAAGGCTGAGCTTGAGCATGTAGAATCATCTCCGATTTTGGTCCATCATGATTATTATTAATATTAGCCATTTGGTGCTGGTGATTTTGTTTCTGCTGATCTAGCTGAAGCTGTTGCTGATTTTGTAGATGATGAAGATGATTATTCTGGGCTTGTTGAGTTTCTGAAGATGTTCTTCTGCTAACAGGAGATTCTGTGTCTAATCTGGTCTGATCACCTCTACTTGATAGAGTATTATTATTCAAAGCTGAACCAGAATCATCAGTACTTTCTCCTCCTGACTTTGAACTCCCCTACAAGCAACAATATAGAGCCCCAAAAAAAATGTCAATCAACAAAGCTACAAACAATGATGATATGTATATAAAACAGTGAAGCTATTCTGCCAGAAAAACCAAGAAGGATTGATTCGCTTCTCATATAAAAGGAGGTTAAAAGTGCTTACTCCGGTAGTAGTCTGAATGAGTCTAGTGGGCCAAGAAGGGAACATTTCCAGAGTTGCTGCTGGCCTGACCGATGCTGCATATAAAGCTGCATAGAATCACAAGGCCAAATCTTCAGAGTATCAGTTAAAAAGAAGTAAAAAGAACTGTAAAAATCAAGTCTTGATGATGGTCTTTTTGGCTTTGCTGCTCAGAGTTTAGAATACTACTAAAGCCTTCAAAAAGGAACTGAACCTAATCATCTCAACTTTCTTTCTTTTTTTTTTTTGTTTTGTTTTGTTGTGCCACTGTTCTTTTTGAGTCAGTAAAATCATGCAAAAGAGGTCAGGTTTCCTTGTTTGTAACCCCACGCCATTCAACTCCATAGCCCAAGAATGATTATTGCGTTACAAATGGCAAAAGCTTTCTCACAACTTGGCCTTATTCTCTCTCTCTTTCTCTCTGAGCGAGATTAGGAATTTGTTATGCTTTTTTAACAGACGTCAGATAAAGTAGAAAGGATATGGTGTGGGAAGAAGTAAGGAAAAAAAAAATTAATAAAGGAAAATTTTTTGCATACGTGATGGTTTTGATTCATCATTGTTGTTGTTGCAGTTGATCTTAACTCCTTGTAACACAATAGCTTCCTCTAGCTCTCCAAAATCAAAAGAAGATCCATCTTGATTGCTATCATATCATAACCAAAACAAAAAAAAAAGGAACAAAAAACCAAATCAAACCCATGTCATGATCATCATATATTACATAAAGGATGAATCTTTCAAACTCTAAGGACATGGACATATATGAATGAAGTAGAAAAAGTTCATTTACATGAAGGATGTTGAAGGAGGATTTAGCCCACGAAATACAGCATAAGAAGACATGGTATTGTTATGGTGATGATGATGAGGATGATGAAGTTGATGATGATGATGATGTGAAGGTCCCGAGTTGGACAAACTAGCTTCACCAACTACCCTTTGACTCGCCATGCAAAGAAGAAAAAGAAGAGCTTTTTATTCTTTCAGACCATTTCTCTGTAAAAAATGAAGAAACTGAAGCAACCCAATACTGAAAATGAAGAAGAAGAAGAAGATTGATTTGGGTTTTTTGTTGAAGCAGGGGAACAACAAAACTATTTCTGGAAGTGGGATTTTTCTCCTGAGTTGTTTTTCTCTATGAGATTCCTAGATAGCCAAAACCAAAAAAAAAAGTCCTCCTTTCCTCAAGGGAAATATAAGAGCATCTACTGGAAAAAAAAAAAAGGAAGCTAAAAAGGAAAGATCAAAGCTTTCTTGTCAAATCCTGTCAAAGTGTATATTATCTGAGAGAAGGAAAGGGAGGGAATGAAATTATGAGGAAGGGAGCCACCAACACCAGAAAGAGAGAGGGGTCAGGTCCAGTCCTTTTCATCTAAAAAATCAAACAAAAAATGCTTTCCTTCTCCTTCCTTTCAAAATCACCATATACTGTGATTAATCTCCATGAAACAGACAAACCCCTTTTGTTTTCTGATCTTTCACAAAGTCTCTATCTTTTTTTATTTGCTTTGCTTTGCTTTCTTTTCTTCTCTCCTCCTCCCTTCTCTGTGAAGGAAACTGTCAGATTATTCTGTGATATGCTTATTTTGTTGTAGTAGTAAATGAAGTACTACTAGCTAGTAGTATGCATTATTATCATGGGATTTTTGAAAATTGAAATTCAACACAAAATCTTGTCCTGTTGAGGTCCTCTTGGTCTTTCTTTGGCTTGGGCTTTTGGCCTTATGGGGGAGGAGGTTGGAAAAAAGAACAAAAACTGATATAACAACAATAGTTTTGTACTTGAAAAAGGACCATAAAGGTGGGGTCTTTGGGCAGGAACCCACTAGAATCAATGACTCCTACTCCACTCCCCTCCATCTCTTTCTTTAACCGCCTGTGTTTTTTCATTGGTTCTTTTTTTCCTATATGGCTCTTCACAGTTTTGGAGCTTTATTAAGTACTAAAAACTAGTAGTATTGCATGAGGAAGGGAAAAAAGAAATGAATAAAATAAAGTTACTTTGTATCTCAATTTTCAACATTCAGTTGTAGACCAGACAATCCTTTCCTTTACTTCTTGACATGATCATCAATCAAAGGCCTTGATCTTCAAAGGAAAAATAGATTCATAATGTGTTACGTTTAATATGTGGGTGTTCTGTATTTACATTTAGCTATGGTTTTGGGCTTTTGTTTATAGTTGTAAGATGGTTATATTTGCAAGGATTCAGAACAATCCTTAATTAGAAAGGAGTTTCTTCTGAATGGTTTGGGTCACCACCTTCACCTCATGTTTACTAACAGTGTTTATTGACAAAATTTATTAGAAATTGTTTTGATAAGTGCTTATTTATTAGTTAGGCCTTAGAAATGAAGAAAAAAGAGTTTACTTTATTGACAATGAATTGGCTTTAGGTGAGGAAAGAACTTAAAAAACTAGACCAAGACCATTAGAGTTTAAAACTTTTTTGGTTTGCAGCCTCTTCTCAACCAAATACATTATTACAATTAATAATGATCACCAAATTAAGAAAATCCCAACTTGTTTTTGCTTATTAATAACCCAATCCCTTGAGATGGATTTGTTTGGTATTATCCCTTTTGTTGATGGGTCAACATCCATTCCTTGTCATCACCTAAAAACCATGCCATAAAATGATTCCTTTCCTTTATAAGAGAAAATTTCTATTCAAAATTCAGGGATCCTTATGGTACAGAGGCCATGGCAGAGTGGACTTTATCACCTTCTTCCCTTATTTGGGTCTTAAATTCTTCTGGCCCTTCTGTAAGCTTAATAATGATGATGATCTAAGGTCATCCTTTCTTTAAGGATAGATAGTCCCATATGCACAATCTAGAAACAACCCCCTTTTGTTATTTAGTATTAACATAGGCTTTAAGGATTTTGTTGCCACTTAGTTTATAGGTTCTGCACATATGTCTTCATGAATCATGAATAAATGATTAATAAAGATAGAGAGACACACTGATCATCATGTTGTGGGAACTTTAGGTAAAATGGACCCTTTATACAATTTCCATAAATAAAAATTAGATGGTGGACACACATATATGATAACTACTATTTTGTGTTCATCCAGTGCCTTTTTCTTGCCTGATAAAATGCCCCTCTCAGGCAAATTATATTCTTTCATAAAGCCAATGATTGGCTCAGTAAAGGTTAGGTCAGATATATAAGATATTGGGTTTTTAGTTTTTCTTTTTGGAACTTTGCTTCATTGGATTAGGTATGCAAACTAACTAATACCTTTGTATCTGATGCCATATTTTGCTTTGCTTCATATAAATGTCAATAATTTTATTCTCAGTAAATCTAAAAAGCCCACATGTTTTTCATTCAAGAATTTGCCAAGGATTATGGAAAGTGCAAAGTTGCAATCTGAGATGAGAATATAGGATTCTTTGGAGAATGCAATAATGCATTATTCATCCAAATCTGCATTAATTTAATGCTTTGCTTGCCTCTTTATCCTAGCAAATCTGATTGGATGGAAGCCTGCTTCCAGTCTGCACCAGATTAATTACTTATATATATCAAGATTAATTCTTTGCTTGTTACATAAGCATGGAAGTTAACAGATTCTTTTGTGTCTTGTATCATTCTTTATTGCAAATATGCTTTGTCAAAACACATGTTTTGATTCATTCGTTCATCAGAATCCAGTGACCAATTCCTTAGTATTACTAGATTTAAAAACTTGGTTCTGTATTTTATCAACATGAAAAGGAGCTTTGCCTAAATTGTGCTGAATGGAAATAAGTAATGATATTTTTCCAAAGACTTTTGTGCACATTAATTGTTTGTGTAGAAGGTATTAAAAAGTCTCAATCCCATATCGGTGTTGAGAGACTCTAAGTATCAATATATAAATTTTATGGGCTATTCTTGTTATTGTCAATTGGTTTTGAGGTGCATTCCCATAGACCTATGTACAAGGGATCGATTTATTTAGAGAGTTTGCATTATAGCAACAAATCTGAACTCAGAAAAGAGGTGCAGGAAGAAGAAGACACACATGATTGATGATTCTGGTCCAAATGTCCTGTTCTCCAGTTCTCTTTAACTTTATTATCTATAGAAAGTAAATATTCCTATCTACTTTGCAATTCCAATGTTTGGAAGCATTCTCTCATCTCTCTGTAAATCTGATCTGTTTCTGTGATTGCTTCTTTGACTGGATTTTCCTTCACCACTTTTCATAGTGGTAAAAAAAAAAAATATTTGGACTTATTTTGGGCAGTAAAGGAGTAGCTTTTAAAAGGGGGTTCAAATTACCCTTCACAATGTGGATAACAAATTTTTTTTTTTTTTTTTTAATATGCCACAGAGTTTAGACTACTGTATAGAAATTGACAACTGAAATGAATAAAATGCCTGCAGATTGACTTTGCTTTTCCAATTAGATACTCCATTGGTTGGTTAAGTAATTCTTTCTGTCACTTGGGCATTTGGTAAATCAGTTTATTAATAATATTGGTAGTTTCCATAAGATCTGGTCTCCTGCTCATGAAATTGCCCATTTTTTCCCTTTTGGATCAAAGACTGGATAATTTTCGTATTTCAATATGTTTGGTATGTCTTTGCTTGTACGCAGCAGGTACAATGAAACTTCGATCAGTCCATCTTGTCTTTCAATATTGGCGTTCACACGTAAAATTACATTCGTCATTAAAAAAAATATCCTTATAACCAAAATATTTTTGTAATATTCTTGTTCGATTTTTGTCTAGTATGATTACCGTCGTAGAGCGTGGACAATCAAAATAATTCAAATAATTATTTCTGATAACATGTTGCCCACAATTCTGTTCCCAAACACATAAAACAAACATGAAACATTAATACTACAACTTTAATCTCTGTACTAAAAGAGTAACAACACATGAATGAGAGGTTATACTCTACAAGGTGTCTTCAGTTTTGACCATGCAAATTTGCATAATCCTACTACGAATCATGGTACAAAGTATTTTGATAAATGTCAAATATTCGATTTTCTGGTTCTTGTATTTAATAAGGTTAATAAATAGTCAATTAATTAAATTGCTCGGCCATGAATGTAAAATTAAAGTTCCATTGACTTCGTTGCAACTTGCAAACGATAGTTGATTAGTCCGGGCATCACCATCAAAATAAAAAGCAGCAAACTACGTACTTTGCCACTTAGCTAGTTCGATAAGTTTAGCCACGACCTACAACAAAATGTGTGACTAATTTATCTCAATTGAGCATAGCAGTTCCAAATTCTTGTGCTTGTGCCCCTTCGTTTACCTTACATCAATCTGTAACATTTTTATTTTTATTTTTTAAAAAAATCTGTAACATTTTAATAAAATGTCATGTGATATTTTTTTACATTTCAAGAGATGTTAACTACTCCTGCCGTCTAAGGAAAAATAATCCATACAATATACGAATTGAACTATATTTAATGTAATATATAAATTACAATATGAATAATCTTTTTTTTTTAATTTTTTTGGAAGATGTTGGAAATACATTTTTTACTTTTATTTACAGTTTTTCTTTCTTATGACGGAAATGTCACATTTTTTGTTTTAACTTCTGAGACGTGAGTTTTTGGTAGATGTTTTTACCTTTGCACATGTGATTCATTTTTCCTTAATCTTCTAAGAACAAATGATGGTTGACTTTGGGTTCATCAATTGTATTGTGTGACTAAATATTGTACCCTGATCAAGTAAAATATGGAGCATATGGTATATGTATTTCATCTCTCCGTTGAAATTAAGGACTGGAATGGTAATAAAAATAACAGTGGGGGAGGTAAATATAATTATGTATATTTCCCAATAATTAACGTAATTCTTACTTACTCCTTCCTTTTCCAAATCTTTCTTTCTTCCTTTCTTTCCCATCTTTGATCGCTGCACCATCTTTGACTCATTGGCAGAGTGGCTGTTCGAACTATGATGGGAATCTTCGCACTACTTCTGACTCCTTTAATCATAGAATTTCTTTCTTCAACAATGGCTTCACCCCTTGATCACACCTACAATGTGGGTGATGATGTTCCCCTTTATGTTAATAGAGTTGGGCCCTTGAATAATCCCAGGTAATCATCACCCTTTTGCCCATTTATTCATCCAAATTTCTGTAATTCAGATTGTTTAATTTTCTGGGTTGTCTCCGTTCTGAATGTTTATGAGAAATGTAGACATGGGTTTCCATTAGTGGCACCAAAGTGTTTGTTTTTTTAATGGACTGGAACTGATTTGGGAGCTAATAGGAACATGTAAAGGTTTAGTTGGTCTGGTTTGATGATAAGTTATGTTGGAATTTTGTTCTTTAAGAAGAAAGCTGATGCAGTGGAAATTTAATGGAAGGAATAAGGGCGTTACAAAAGTTTGTATGAAGTATAATTGACACTTGTGTTAGTAATGAATTTCAAAATCAAGGAAGAAATCTGTATAATTGGACTCGTTGGGCTTGTTCTGCTTCACTTGGGATTTCTTGCTGTTAGAAAATGATTGAATACCAATGCATTTGAGTGAATGTTAGAGTTAGTGCTCTATACTCGGGAATAAAGTTCATCCTTCCATATCATAAGTTCTTGGTATTGGATTATTGGCATTAGTCAAAACTTAATGGAACTGAACCACGGACGTCCAGAAGCTAACACGGTCTGCATTTTTGTTGAAGATTTCCAATGTCGAAGATCAATATCTTTCCTTTCCATGAGATATAAAAAATCATTAACTTTCTATGAGATACTCTTGTTCACTTTTGAAACCAAAAATTATCTGTTTATGGTTAAGAGTTTTTCTTGTGGAATGCATTTTGGAGTTTGCGGTAGTTAATTGCTTAATTACTGTTGATGTCTGTGTCTGATTCCCTATGAACTCATGTCTTTGCATGTTGCTGTTGACTGGTAAATTTTTATTCAGGTTTCAGCAACCACTCGGAATTTTTGATAGCTGCTGAGTACCTTTTTTTAAAGGTTTATTGATGACATTTATTGTTGCTATCCATTCGCTTTCGTCCTCTTGATGTTTTTCACTTAGAACTTTTTAGAGATCCAGTCATCTGAAGCCAAAAAATGCACATCTTATATTATGGTTTACTGTTGGCTAGGGAAAATTGAACAATTAAAACTTGCAACGGGTTCAGTCGTTCTGTAATGGTTAGATGGTGTGTTCATGGTCCTTGCCAATGACCAATGATGATTACTAGTAGAGTTGATAGGAAGTCTTTCCTTTGTTTGATTTAGTTATTGTGTGCTTTGTCTTCTCACCCTTCAACTACTGCCTTTACAAATGGTTTTAAAAATCTCATAAATAAATGGCTGAATGTACAAGTTTTTGTAAGGCATCATTTTCCTACCGCTGTAATTTGATCATAATATGTGTTGCTATGCTTTTGCAGTGAAACATACCAATACTATGAAATGCCATTCTGCATCCCAGGTTAGCACTTAGGTTTCTACTTAAACTGTGGCCCTTAATGACGATGGACAAAGAACTCAAAGTCTCTTGCTTTTATGCTTGGTTAAATTTTTTCGGGGGCAAATTCTTCATGCAATGACTAATTACAATATTTCACATATAAATCCATACACTGACCTGTATACGAGTTAGCATTAGAAGCATAATAAATCCAAAACTTAAGAGCTGATACATTTAGTGTGTATGTTTATTTAAGTGCGTCATGGGTGTCTTTGAAATCTGCTGAATTGCTGTCTAGCTGTACGACTTGTAAACATATGAAAGACTTAACTTTTATGTTTCACCCACAGATAAGGTGCTTGAAAAGAAGCAATCACTTGGTGAAGTATTAAACGGTGATCGACTCAGCAGTTCATTGTATGAGCTGAAATTCAAGTTGGACAAACCCGAGACTGTTCTGTGCCAAAAGAAGCTTAGTCAGAGTGAGATTGCAAGATTCAAGCATGCTATTGAACGTGAATATTATTTTCAAATGTACTATGATGATCTTCCGGTTTGGGGATTCATTGGGAAAGTTGAAAGAGATTCTGCTGGAATGGGACCTTCCTATTACCTCTTTAAGAATATTCAGTTTAATATTCTTCACAATAATAATCAAATCATTGAGATTCATGCTTTTTGTGACCCAAATATCTCTGAAGATATAACTAATGATGTTGCAATGGAGATTAAGTTTACATACTCAGTTTCATGGAAAGAAACCTCTACTCCATTCAAGAGCAGAATGAATAGGTACTCTGAGGCGTCATTACTTCCAGCCCTCCGAAAAATTCATTGGTTCTCATTTTCCAATTCACTGGTCATTATTCTCCTCACTGGGTATATTTCTTTTTTAATAATGAAGAAAGTCAAGAACGATTCTAGAAGGTACGTTTTTGAGGATTCCCTCATTTCTATTTATACTTTTATTTAGTAGTATTGTCAGCGTTTTATCAAGTATGAGTAATTTGAAATGACATTGAAGGTCACATATCTTAACTGCTTCGATTCTTTCTTAAATTGTTTGCAGACATTCAGGTGGAGAAGAAGAGGAAGATAAGGAAGTGGGTTGGAGAAACACACATCGCGATGTTTTCGCATGCCCTTCAAAGAAAACCTTATTTTCTGCTGTCTTAGGGACTGGTAGCCAGCTGTTGATTCTGTAAGTCTTTTTTGTTCATTTTTTTTCTTAAACTAATGTAATTGAATTATACTAATTCCTCTACTGGTGATCGTGCATATATTACATCTTTTGCATGCCATAATGGAGCCAGTCGGCTGTATTTATGTTGCTTTCTTGTTAGGTTTGCCTCTCCTGTATTATAGCCTTGGTTCCCAAACAAATTTAGATTTTCACTATAGACAGTACTAAACCATCTCAGAAATTACTTACTGTTTCCAAGATTAGGAATGTATACATAACTCCATGTGGAGAATCTCTCTTAACGATTTTCTTAAAACCCATAGCCGAAACCAAGGCCTAGTAACTCCTTCCCGATTGAACGTGCATAGCACCACTAGCTGCATCAAACATTTGGTAAAGATTTGGAAAATCTTTAACATGTTATTGTAATGGACATATCTTGAAAGTCATTCCGGGTTCAACCTTGCAACCTCGATAATTTTTTTATCCTTAAGTTGGCTGAATATGAAGTGATTGAGGATGGCCCTACGATAAAAATGTTTTGTGTGTGTGTGTTGGGGGGGGGGGGGCTTTGTTATCTCTTACTATTTACAGTAAATAATAAGAAATTAAAAGAATTGACCATCTAGCTATTGCAAGGCTGTGCATTGCCATCCTCTTAATTTTATAACTAACTTTGGTCCTCAACCAGTTTTCTCCTTATCACTGTGTATATGCTTTCCTTTTCCTTGGTGAGGGGGAGTTGTCATTTGAATTTATTTTTGGTACTGAAGAGGTTGTTGTTACAAGAGCACCCCAACAATTAAGGGTCTTTTAAGTTGCAGTGATGTGTGGGTATGTGTTCAGAGAGAGATAGAGAGAGAGAGAGAGAGAGAGGACAAAATCAATACAAACTAAACGCAGATTACATTCTTGTTGTTGGATTTGATTATAGATATTGGCTCTAGCTGGACTACAGCATCCTGATGGATGTGTTATTGGTTACTTCCAGCTATTATCGCATATTTACATGTACTTGGATGTGCCCCTTTGTTTAAAGGGGCTACATCTTTTTCCAAAGATGATTTGTTCATTCATTTGTTTTTGTGATGATCTTAACAGGGTTGTAGTACTATTTGCTTTGTCATTCATGGGGATACTCTACCCTTATAGCCGTGGATCCCTCCCTACCTCTCTAGTCTTGGTTTTTGCTCTTACATCTCTTGTGGCCGGCTATATCTCTGCTTCCTTCTATTGTCAGTTTGTAGAAACTGGATTGGTAAGATAAATTGTTGTTGATTCGTGCTCCATAAGATCACTGATGTTATCATTTATCTGATGGATTCATATCAAACATTTCAGGTAAGATGTGTACTTCTTGCTGGGATGCTATTCCTTGGTCCTGTTTTATTTATCATCTTTATTCTCAATCTAGTGGCTGCATATATTGGGGCCACTGCTGCACTTCCATTTCGCACCATAGTGGTTGTTACTCTTGTTCATACACTGTTGGGGATTCCTTTTCTTGCTGTGGGTGGGTTGCTTGGCTACAGTTTCAGGTCTGCCTTTGTTGCACCTTACCCTAAGAAAAGCCAGAAAGAAGTTCTTTCACTGCCGTGGTACCTGAGAACCCCCGGTCAAATGTTTATTGGAGGCCTTTTAGCTTTTAGTGTTATAATTTCTGAGCTACACCAGTTGTATGCAAGCATCTGGGGCTACAAGATTTACACAGTTCCCATCATCTTGTTTATCACATTTATCAGCCTTATCATGGTCACTGCAATCTCGAGTGTATCTTTGACATACTTTCAGCTGAAGGTGGAAGATTCAAAATGGTGGTGGAGGTATGTGTTATTTCAATGATAAGTTTTTGCTCGTTATACCAGTGTTTATCTTTTTTAATGCCATTGCTGGTTGATTCAAATTCTTTTATGATATCAGATTTCCTGTAGTTTTGAATATTGTAAAACTAGCCTGGGGAATGTTGTTCTTCATGGGTGGCTAATTGCCATTTATTGAGGACACGATTGTTCAGAGTTCGCACTTTTATATAGTCACCTGACTTGCAAATTATGTGAAGCTTTAATTTCTCGTGGTTAAAATGGCTTTTTATTTCCTTGTAATAAGCTGGTTCAATGTTTTACAATGTTCAACTGTAGAATGGTGAGTGGTTAAAACGTTATCTTGGCATATCATTAGTTACTTCTGACCTTGAATGAACTAGTTAGAAACTCATTGAAGTTTTGAGGTTAGGACTCGAATTTAGGTATCTTATTTTCTGAGTAATCAATGGTGCTTTTAGTCTGCTATGAAGTGAGGACACATTTCATTCTTTTATGCCCTTCAACACATAATACAAACCAGTTTATGAGTTCATCCTAGTTTCTAGTTTTAGAAATAAACTAAGAGTTTAGAGACTGTCTTCTTCAGACAGCTTCAAGGTGTAAATTTTCATTGATTTTATATTCTTATGTTTTTCCCAGTAATCAGTATCCTTCTCTCGCGATGGTAAACTTAGTGCTTATTTTTCAGGTCTGTTCTTCGTGGCGGCTCGGTCGCAATCTTTATGTTCCTTTACAGTATCTACTTCTACGCCAAGTCAAATATGAATGGTTCCTTCCAAGCAGCCTTCTATTTTGGGTACAATGCTTGTTTGTGCTTTGCATTTTTCCTAATGCTGGGTACAGTGAGCTTTTATGCCTCCTTGATGTTCGTACGCCGCATGTACCCTGCTGTCAAGAGTGAATGAGTACCATTGTTTATGCATATGTGAAGCATTGCCGATTTCTGTGAACATCAAGTTTCTTCGAAGGATACTCATTTGGCCGAGAACATGGAATGGAAAGCTAACTTGTGGCATGTTTCTTCACATGGCTTTATGCATTCGACTAGAGTCTAACTTAAGGCTTGTTTCCTTTTCGAAAACTCGGAGCAGTTAACACTTACCGTTCATACTAGTTACCGGGAGATATGAAACTTGTAAGTAGGCTAAGTAGCCAACTAGGGATTATGCAAAAATATATCTCCAATTTCTCCTCATTTTAATTTTCAGTATAACAAATTTTGTAATTGAGTAATCTTACTACCATTTACCTCTAACGTTACAAATTTTATGTGACTGATCTCGGTGAGAATTGAACTCTCGACCTTTGATACGTAAGACACGCGTCAGTGCAAGAAATAACGTTGTAAGGAGGCCCCAAAATGTATCGCATGGGAGCTGCTTACCTTGGAATTGTCTCTTAGTGAAAGTGACGAGTAAAAGACACTTGAATGATTCAGATTTTCTGGGTGGTCCAAAATTGGCCATTTCTTCAGTATTAGTGTATTGTGTAGGAGGAGATGGACCGATGCTTCTTCCTTTTATAATTTAAGGACAAGAAACGAAGCTATAGGCATCATACAATCCAAACTTCACATACATACAAAATATCTTAATTCATCAATTTTCTGTGCGTAAATCTACATCCACGTCTTTGTCCTCAAATTCACCTCTTTTCCTCACGTTTCTTATATATGACTCATATAAGTTAAAAAAAGTTAAGTTTCTTAGTGAATCCATCTAGTAAAAAACATTATCACATATGGTATTGTTATATCATATTATCTTGTCAAAATGAGTTACATATTTTATATTTACTCTATCCCAAAATTATCTAATTTACATCTTCATTCTTAGTTTAATTTACACTAAAAATGAAAATTCAAACTGGACAATAATTTCGGCACAGAAAAATTACATTTTATCCGTTTGTGTAGAAACCAAATACAATATCAATACAAGTAATATTTGTATTCGTAAATCAGATAATCTATAACCATTTCGTTCCCTCCAAAATTACTAAAAAGGAAAAAAAAAGAAGAAAGGAAGAAGGAAATATGTGAATATGTAATAATAGTCCTACATTTTAAGGGATGAGCCCATGCATGTACTTTTCTTTCTTTTCTGACATTATGGCTTCCTTTTTTCTGGTAAAAAAACATGTCAATGGTTTTCAACTTTTCATTCCACCACATATTGGAAGCCTTGAAAACTAGGAAAGAAATTGACACGTTCAAACTTCACAAACCATAAAATAGCAAAACCCAAACCTCTCTTCTACGTGTAATGCAAACTCCCCACCCATTCCCTTCTTCACACTCTTCATTCAGCTTCCAACATACTATAAATAGAAAGCTTTAGTACTTACAACAACCTTAGTTAATCATACTGCAAGGAAGTGATCACACATTCACAATTACACTTATGGCTCAAGTTGATATCAAAAACCCCACAATTAATAACAATGATCATCTCCCAAAAATCTCTCGAAACCCTGATGATCTCCAACTTCAAACCTTTGATGATCAAGATTTCAAGTCTCCCACTAGGGTTGGAGCTAATGATCAGGAAGCTATGTTGATGATGTCAAAAAATAGAGTTGTTGATGAGGATGAGGATAATAATAATAATAATAAGAATACTACTTCTTGTAAGAAAGAAGAAGATGAACAAATCGAATCGGGCGGCCGCGAAAAATTGTTCCGGCACCGGAATGAAGTAGCTGGAAGAGTTTGCATCCCTGAGAAATGGGGCCAGGAGAAGTTGCTGAAAGATTGGATGGATTGCTCCATTTTTGATGAGTTGCTTGCTCCCAAAGAAGCTGCTTTGGCTCGTGAAGCTTTGATTGCTGAGAGGAAAAGAGAAAGAACGAGGCAGCTGATCAATATGGAACGTATGATCTCTAATTAGTACTCCTTTGATTCCAAGGGCTTCTTTTTTTTTTTTTTTTTTTTTTGATTGAACTAGAAAAGGGAAGAGATGCTGCATTTCTGCATCCGGGTTTAAGGTGTATATGCATATACCGTATGTTAATTTCTTTTTTCCAGCTTTGTCAAGAATTAATCATGCTAGTTGTTAGATTAAATTAGTTAGCTAGGGATGAAAATTAGTTAGTAATAACATTCTGAAGTGTGCTCTATATATAAGGTGATGTAATTGAAGTTAGATACTAATTTTAATGTTTGATCAGTGCTAAATCTGTACAAGTAATTTGTGTTGTTGGTAGTATGTTATGGGATCTGCATTTTCTTGCAAGGGAAAACATCCACAAATCACGTTGCTTTTATACTCTAGTGATTTGGGAATCAAATTATGCGGAACACTATTATTAAGCGGCCTTTTAATTTGAGGCAGATATGCTTAAGAGAAATCGAGCAGTGTTTGTCATCTAATTAAATAGTTTAGTGATCTAAAAGTTACATTAAGTACTTAGTTAAATCATTGTCTAAAATCTAAATCATTCAGTACTGATGAATTACTCCAAATGTTTTTTACTATTTAGCATCAATTTTTATTGGACACTTTTACTTGTCTTCTGTGAATCAAGTCGCGAATGAAATCATGATCTCTGTTGTGTTTGTCAGTTGATTATCTTTTACTTTCAATCCATGAGACCCCTTTCAACTAGGATTTGAAACTATTTGGCCATGTTTTTTGGGCTTGATGTTATAGCAAAATTTTGATCTATGCTACATTTCCAGGGGGATAAAAAATGACATTATAGTCCGTAAAATCTTACACTCACAGAAATAGATGTACTCCACCTTGCCCTTTGCCAATGGTCTACTATTTCTTAGTTCTATATTATTGCAAATATCAGAACTATAGTGTATGTGTTATTTTTATCTTTATTTCGTAATTTTTTTTTGAAGTTTGATGAATTCTTGAAGGAGTTTTTGTTTTTGAATGAAGTCAAATTTTCTCTATTGAGCCTATGCATTACACTAGTTTGGAGTCTGGACAATAATTTTGGGATGTAGGGAGTATATACTATGCCGACACATGCCTTTGGTATTTGTTACACTAAAGTAATTCTCTAATAGCGTTCAGTTTTATAGGAGTAATAATTATTAGGTGATAGAGAATTTTGTTTAACGTGTAAAAATAGTGGTGATTTAAATGAGATATTCCAATTGGCATCTCACCTACAACAACATCAGCTAGCCATGCATTTCGATGATTCATTAAGCAAGTAGTTGATGGCTTGCTAAAGTAAAATATCATTCAACAAACACAACGAATCAAAGCTGTTTGCAGAAGGGAAATTAATATATGGTTTTCAGCAGAGGAGAGCAATCAAATGAATATCATAGACTTGTAACAAAAGAAAAAAATGTAATTGTTTGGATTACATCTGTTCTTTAGAAGCTAAAGAAAACTATCTAATGAGAAAATTCCAAGTGGGAACTGGTTGAGATTCCATATGCTTTTTTGGGGCTTGAACGGGATCCTTTCAGCTTCTTGAGAAACAGTACCAAGATGTTTGAATGCATCTGTAATGTTTTTAACTCCTAGTTAAAAACAACCAAACTGAAGATTTTCAAGCTCTAAATGTTATACAACTATACCAATCCAAGATGGTTCTCTACTCTTTCTGAACCTTTAATTTCACTTCCAAGCTCCAAAAGTAAAGTCTCTTCTACGTAGGCATGCTCACGGTTCTGGAACCGCCGGTTCCGATTTACTAAAAATAAGAACCAGAACTGCCCCTTTATATCATGGTTACGGTTACAGTTCGATAACCGTCGATTCCGGTTTGGTTCTGGTTCTGTTATGTTTTTTGTTCTATTTTCAAGTTGTGGCTGTTTTGGTTACAATTTTTTTTTTAATCAAATTTCTTTTGTTTAATAATTTTTTTCTTTTTTATGAGAAGTTAATGGAATGTGGAGTAAGAAACTCAATTATTTTACATTTAAAAAAAAAAGACAATACTTGACGTGTATATCCTAAAGTTTAACTATATGAAAAATAATAATACATAGAGAGTGCTTAACACTTACTCAAATCAATAAATAATCTTTACAAACATTATTTGAATAAAAAGATAGTTTGTGTCGTATTCTAAAAAATAGCTATGTTAAAAGAAACAAAGAAGTTACTCCTGAAATTCACAAGAATATTCAAAACTCACATCACCAATGATTTAAAAGATATTAATGTCTAAAACCTGCAAAAATAAAGTTAGTACTCCGACACTTAAGTTAGTACATGGTTCAACAGTCGAGAGAGAAAAAAACTATACTAAAGTGTATCGTGTATACATGTGTAAAATGAGGGAGAGTACATGGAGTAAAATCTGTTATATTTATTATTTCGTGGATTTTCATAGATTTGATATAATATCAACGACTTTTTTGGAATATAATTTAGATTTCTCTTTTATAAGTTGTTTAATATTGATAGCAGTTGACGGGTTTGTCGAGACCCGCAAAAATTAATCTGATTTCCTAACAGATCAAAATTAATTTGCAGAAACAGTGGAATCAGGTCGAATCCCAAGATAGCCGACTTTTAACACTTGGCTTTACACAAATGCAAACAGGGGGGATTTTTCTTCTTTAAAATAAAATGACAATTTGAAGTAAATAAAAATGGAGAGAAAATCAGTAATAGAAAAACTTTGGTTCAAGGAATGATTCTAATATATTATAGATCATCGACTAAAAATATATTTTTCTACAACTCAAGCATTCAACCATAGGCTTAATAGGATAGCCGTAAAAAGCCTTATATTTTCTAAAAATATTTGACCAAGCCCAGCACCTAATCAAAACTTAGTATAATTTAACTGGGCACGATAGCGTTCCATGTTAAATTATACTAGCAATAAAAACTTTGAAAATTTAGTTGAACCAAAAACTAAAATAATTGAGATAGCTGCAATTAAAATATTTTTGTCCTATTGATCTCCTAGTTAGACTTATTATGCACATTCAACGTGTCAATACCAACATGCATAATCTGCTAATGTGCTACTTAGTGCCAAATGTTTAAGACGATAGCGCATCATAACAATTTGGTAGCAGTAGGAAGAAAATACTTGATTAAATTGTTAGATTAATCAAGTATCTACTCTCATAAAAAGAAATTAAAATCAACAAGTGCTTGAATTCAAAGTAGAAAAAATAAAGTGAAACTTGTAGTCTCACATATAATATAAAAGAATAAAAATCCTTGAACTAAATGAAGAAAACTAGCCACTCATAGTGACTAGAAACATCTTTAAAGGTGTAAAAAAAAATTAAAACAAAAGGCTAAATGAAAATGGTGGCAAAAATGGAAAAAGTAGTAGCAGCCAAAAAATGCAAGCTACGGGGAGGCACTTTTGATCAATTAACAAGCCTCTATTTATAGTGCCTTTTTGCCAACCGAAATCTCAAAGATATAGGAGTCAAAATCCTATCTAAACTGCATATATGTTGATTCCGAAATCTGCAGGTTGTTGCTCCATGATTCTTTTACCCATCTAAATAAAGATTTAGTGGTAAAAGTCTTCAAGTTGGTAAAAGTCTTTAATATTTATCCAAATCTTTTGCAGTGAAATCAAGCCATCAAGATTTTGTAAATAATAGCTTTGACTTGATAAAATCTTCTCAGCTTCTTTTTAACTCCAACTCTGTAAAATAGCTCGTAAGAGTACATAATAGTCATCTTTTACTATTTTACTTCCTAACACAAAACAATAATAAAATCAATTAATAAACTCCAAAATATAATTAAATTAAGCCTATAAGATTATAATAAAATAAAAATTTTATTATAACTGTCAAATTCCCCCACACCAAAACCATGCTTGCCCTCAAGCATCCTGAAATCTTTTGAAAACTTTAAGAAAAATCAGAATTTTGAAAATTTCAGCAACAAGCAAAGTATCACTCATCATTTAGAAAATATGTGCACTGCACCCATCAACTTCAGATAGTATTGTCAGAATGTACTATACTTGAATGCCTCACAAAGATTCACTCTATGCACTCAAACAGATAGGATATTTATTAGTAAGCACTCAATCATAAACATAGCATGCATTCGATAGGTTTGTCATGTATCAAATCCTCTTAGCACTAAATGAACAATCATGCAACATCAAAAGAGTCTTTTCATAGGGTTGTAATGGGGCTAGGGAATTTCAAAGGGTAGGATAAATATGGATAAGTAGGCTAAATTACCAACAATATGTAGACCACATACTCAATTCTCACCATCATTCCAGATGACCCATATGATGGCAACATTGATATACTATTACAAACCAAATCCCAATCTACTAAAAGAACTATTACATAAATCATAAGTCACTAAGACTTTTGATGACCAAGTTATGGTGTTCTAAAAAGATATTCAAATATTGTAAACACCAAACCCCTTTTATTATTATTATTTTTTTCTTTTGTTGTTGTTTTTTTTAATTATTAAAACAAAAACGAAATTGAAGCATAAATCAAATAACTGAATGGACAGAAAACAAAACATAAATGCCTTTTTTTTTATTTTCTTTTTTATTTTCAGCATATTGCATTTTTTTTCATTTTTTTTTCTATTTATTTATTTTTCATAACATTTTTTTTTGGTACTGTCCTGACTTTTTGGATATACAGAGCTAAAACTTTATTGGACTTAAAACAAGAACATATATCCTATCATACTAAACCTACCATACCACTATTGCCAACGCACAACCATTTTCCGCAAACCAAAATCAAGTAGTGATCATACATACTCCGAATAACAGGTGAAAAGATAGCTAAAAATTAGGCTCCGGATTATATTGGTGGAGCTCAAAAATAGGCCCAGGCTTGAAATGGTTACTAGGAGTAAATAATTAAGGTATGATTTTGCGATAGCTAAACTTGGGGAAACCTAAATGCCCTTATCAATTATTGCACAAATTCATCAATGCAGTTATGAAATGTATGACATGAGCAAAACAGTGTAGTAACATACTATGA